GAACGCTACTAGGAGCAAAGGGCATCGCTACTAGGAACAAGAACGCTTCTAGGAGCAAAGAACATCGCTACTAGGAACAAGAACGCTACTAGGAGCAAAGGAAATCGCTACTAGCAACAAGAATGCTACTAGGAGCAAAGGGCATAGCTACTTGGAGCAAGGACGCTACTAGGAGCAAAGGGCATCGCTACTAGGAGCAAGAACGCTACTAGGAGGAAAGGGCATCACTACTAGGAACAAGAACTCTACTAGGAGCAAAGGGCATCGCAACTAGGAACAAGAACGCTAATAGGAGCAAAGGGCATTGCTACTAGGAACAAGAACGCTACTAGGAGCAAAGGGCATCGCTACTAGGAACACGAACGCTACTAGGAGCAAAGGGCATCGCTACTAGGAACACGAACGCTACTAGGAGCAAAGGGCATTGCTACTAGGAACACGAACGCTACTAGGAGCAAAGGGCATCGCTACTAGGAACAAGAACGCTACTAGGAGCAAAGGGCATGGCTACTAGGAACAAGAACGCTACTAGGCGCTCCTGGCCATACTACAAGGAACAAGAACGCTACTACGGGCAAGAACGCTCTATATATATATTATAAATAGAACATTATAGAATATATAGCAATGCAAGTTCTTGGAAAGACAAAGAAGCGTTGAGAGTTGAGACATCTGTCTGACTGTATGAATCCGTATGTCGCTGTCGCAAATTTCTTGAGACATTTGACATGTACAACTGAATCCAGAAAATTTACCAGGCAAGCTCTGGCCTGCATCAGCACTTCTCCACCCAGTACCCGTGGGATTCCGAGAAGCCTTGTTGGCCTTGGCCCAAACCCAGTGGCGCGAGTATGCGCGAGTGGCCTAGCGATTTGAGAAGACCTTGTCATCATGACTTCATCGAATACTATTGTGGCCAATTGTTTTTTGCACAAGTCAGTCACCAGCAACTCGCTAGTAGGTTGCAGGCCATGGCTAGTAGGTTGGAGGCCATCGCTCTTAGATTGAAGGCCATCGTCTCAAGGCAAAGCGGCTCCAAGTGTCTTTGAGCGGCACTGCTGAGTGTCTTTGAGTGCCTTGCTTGGCTTGCCCCACGAGCACTTCCCAAAGCCGCCCCGCTCATTCCAGTTCTGGGGGGATCCTGAAATTCTCAAAGAAAGCGTCCAAGCTCCTTCGTTGCACTTGCGGTCTTGCTAATCACAACTTATGCTTCTCTGGTGGCACTCCTTTTGGTCAGCACAAGCTGAGAAAAAAGACTCAAGTCGCGAGGCCGGGCCCAAGATGGCCCATGGAACGAAAACTGAGGATTGGTAACAGCGACTCAGCTGCGAAAATTCAAGCATTTGGAGCTCTGACTTCTATGCTCCAGCTGCATTGGAGTATTTTTCCTTGGAAGAGCGGAGATGGACAAAGCAGCAGCAAAATGGTTCAGGCTCTGAGGCTCACGACGCGCTTATGCTGGTTGCGCAACTGCGGAACTGCAGTTGGGTTCATTGATTCTCATCAAAACAAGTAATTACAATTATAGTTTTATCTTACAGTAGTAGATGTTTCCTATATCTCGTCCAAGTACAAACATGTTCAAAAACTACCAGTTCAGGGTTTTTGCTCACTGTGATAGGGTGCAACGGTGTCAGCGAGGGATGGTGGGGCGCTTCAGGTGCAGTGCGATCCGTGGCTCAACGCCCAAGAACAGATTTGAGAAGGGTCTTGCAAAACAACAGCACCCTCCCCACCACGCATAACTAGAAGCAAAATGGAAAGTGCTCTTTCCTTGTAAATCTGGGGCTTCAACGATAGTCAAGCATCTTTCACTGGAAGGCGCCAGTGCTTTGATGTCCCGTGGTCAGACTCATGGATGGCAGTTGCAAACCACATACAAACCTACGCAACGCTTCAATCAAAGTTATGAGCCATGAGGCAATGTGGAGTCATGTGGAGTCAATGAGCAACAACACCCAGAAGTATAGTGTCATGTTATTGAAATTGAAGTCTACAGTCGCTTCGTGGCTTAGCTAGGCACAGTGTTGTGTACCGCCCTCAGCGCTTTCAATGCGACCTTCAGGCTTTCATTGTGACATTTGACAGTGCCATTGACCGCATTTGCTTCATTCTGCAAAGGACGTCGCCTCTGAATTCACCGGTGGAGTAGCAAAAGCAAGTGGAATGGTGCCAATCACATAGTCTGGTCGTCGCATTCCCAAAAGGACGCAATCTACCTGCGTCGTTGAGGTTGAGGTCAAAAAGGCAAAAAAAGCCAAACCCAACAGGCAAATGACACAAACTAATGCAGCTCTAGCGTCGTTGGGCAAGCTTGCCAGCACTTTTACAGTTTTGGCTGCCAAATGCCCAGAGGCACCCTCATCTGCGTTAAATGGAGCAGAACTCAGCTGGCCTGAGTGATGTCGATTCACTCTGCTAAGCTCCCAGCACTCCCAGGTGCAGTCAGCACCTAGTGAAGCACAACAGCCCCTGGTAGCTTGTAAGGCCAGGAGCCCCAAGCAGCCTCTTGCTCCTAGTAATAAGGCCAGGAGCCCCTAGTAGCTGCTAGTAGCTTCTTGCTCCTAGT